TATTTTTTTCGAGTTATTATTGTGTGCAAACATATTTTACACAGCAAGATACTCTGAGAGGGTTCCTTACAGCCTTACTGCCTGCACAGAACTCCCATTTTCACATGCCTTCATTCATATCTAGGGTGGCATAAAACTTTTAACATGAATTCTTTAGAAATTACTGCATAAATATGTCATTCAAGCAGATAATACGTTAATAGTGAAGAATTTAACAAAGCATCCCAAAATCAAAAGAACTGCAGCTTTACATTAGCAGTAGCAGGGATATTATTAAAACACATGCAGTTTGATGTCAACAAATCAAGAGAGGGCAATTTGACAAAAAGGAAAAACAATTAATTCCATTGTCCACATCAAAACATTTAAGTGCAGTTTCTCTACGGATGGAGAGCTAATGATTTAGCAGCCGTCTTAAGAATTTAGAAGTTATTATGCACTGAGGAATGAGAGCTATTGCCTAAAATTATAGCTTTTATATCTATCTTTCCTTAAAAAGCAGTTTGAATGCCCCTAAGCTGACTGGAAGAGAACATTGTGTTATTCTCAGCAGCTTATGTCATATGTTCAGATATTTGGCGTTTACTCACATACCCTCTCTGTGCAACCCTTGCCAACCAAGCAGTGCCAATACCACGTTGGAGACATCTACAGTGGCAGGCCAGTCTTAGAGACATTCCCAATCTTACCAAACGTTATAATTTCAGCATTGCTGGTGTACTGAGTGCAGGAACGACACAAAGAATTGAAGCATAACACTGTACTTTACTAAACCAACACAAACACTGCTGGCTCCCTCTGGTGCTAAATACAACGTAGCGTTACATATTAAACTCCTACAGTAGTAAGGCAATGAAATAATCCAGTTTTTGTACAGTGGGCGACAGACGTTCTAGTAACAAGTTTTATAGCTGCAGATTCTTGTTACAGACAAATCCTTATTCACAGCCTGTACCAACACATGTTATGCAGGGAAAAAAAAACAAAAAACCCCATCACACACCTCTCAGAAGGCAGTTGTGTTTGCGTGCACAGGCATGCAAGGCTTCCTTCCTCACACCTCATCTTCCCTCTCCAAAAGAAGGGTGGGAATCTCATTTTTTTAGAGCAGACTTAAAAACAGATTTCAATCTCTCATCAGTTAAATGGGCAGGAATCTCTAGGGCAGCTTTGCTCTAGATCCACTGAAACAAAACCACTCCTATACCCACCCATTTAAGCTACTATGTCATCTGCGCTTAAAATATGCAAACAGACTACACATGTCAAATGGATTTTAACCAATCTCTTAGTAAATGTGATGTTCAGCAGAGTGTATACAATGAAAACGAAGCTACTCATTACATTTTAGGAAGCCTAGTGTCTGTTTTTTTTTTGTTTTTTTTTTTTTTAATTCTACTCATGCCTTTCAATTTCCAGCGACAAAAAAAGCCATCCAAGAACGTCAATGTACACATTATTCTCTGCATCTTTTTAACAACACTTTGAAACTCGTTTGCAGCTATTCCAAGCTATTAGACTGCAGATGTAAAATAAGGAAGTTCAGTAATCTAATCCGGAAGGGTTAGACTTTCATTGCCTTTTTGTTGTAGTGTGGAAAGAAGGGAGGCAGGCAGCAGGCTTCTGTTTCCTTTTCTTCTCTCTCCACCCCCCCCAATAAATAAATAAATAAAGGTAGAACAGCTTAAGGAAACTGTTAGGCATGGAGCCTGCAGGGCCTACGCATCAGCAGACCTGGGAATCGCTGCGCAGAAGAAGGCACATGGTGCAAAGCGATGTTAATCTCCTTCACCTCCTGCATTACTGGTGCCCTGGTGCAATACGCAACAACAGAAGAGGGTGCTTTAACCAAAAAACACTTTGATGAAGACCCTACGGTTAAAACTGCAGTTGGTGACAACAGCAAGATAAGGGGGTTTCCAGTATACTTCTTTTCATCCAGCTTTGCCTTGTACCTGCCAGCAGCGGTACAATATTCACAAGCGGGATGCTATACTGTTCCACCAGTTTCCAGACCCGAGGTTCATACGTCTCTCCCAAGTTTCTTTCCCCTCCAGAATTAAACTAGCCTTGCCGACATCTTCCAGTTAGCCATTTGTAAATTCACATTAGATATGATTTCAAGCAATTAAACTTTTTAAACTTCCATAAGTTTAAACCACACATGAAGCGATAATTCAGCAAACACCTATTAGCAAAACCTCACTCAGTAAAAGAAATGCTCCTCCACTCCCTCAAAGCATGAAGTTTGCAATTTAAATACTATCACCTTGAATTACAATGAACCACATTTAGCAATGTTAAGCTTTTATATATTTATTTTAGGCTGCTATTCCCAAGTTAAGTCATATTCTGAAAAGAAGTTTTAGGTAGGTTCAAGTAAACAAAGACCAGGAGCCGAAAGACCTATGTTTATTCCCCAATACCGTCTTAACTCTCAGTGCCACGGCCTGTGCCACCCAAGCGACTTAGCTGTAAAACCTGGATAACATGAAGTTTGAGCTTAGTGCCCTGAAGAAAGATATTACTCATGCTTAAGAATTATGAATATCAAATTTAGTAATAAACATAATACAAAACTAGTGCTTTGCAATAGCATTCTATTTCTAGGTTTTTAGATAGCAACTATATTCTATATTCTCCAAGAGCGGAGACAATAATATTTTATTTGTCGTAGAAGACTACATCTCCTTCAAAAAAAAAAAAAAAAAAGAAAAATCTGTTTAAAAATCTTCCCTTCTAAATATGCAGCATCATTTTGTACTAATTTAACATACCACAAGTTATCAATTTAAAATAGATTTTATTTCTTTTTCAAATCATTACTTTTAATGCAAGTATTTTGCCAAAATGGAGGCTTACTATTCACAAAAGAGCCTTTTCTGTAGTGTATTTGTAAATTACAGTAATGTAATTTAACACCTGCTTAATGCTAGCACTAAGGAGTAGCTACATTTGCTACTTAAAGCAAATGAATGTAAAATCACTAACTGGTCTTTATTCACTTTAATAGCTTCCAGAATGCATCCTGTCTTTTCAGCCGCATGAAGCGGAATCATCTCAACTGACTTCTGTAAGAAAACCAGAGAGAATTGTATTCTCTATCATTAAGTCACATAAAAAAAATATGTCTTGCAGAAAAAAAAAAAACCTTACACATAGCCATTGGATATCAATAAATAGCTTTTCTCCCTCTGTATAGACAGTATCAAGCAACATCAGCACGTAACTAGGTTGCAAGTTGTCACTTCAGCCAAATGAAACTTCACCTTTGGCTGAAAACACATTTTCAGTGTGAGAAGAATAACGTGAGCTGAAGTTTTAGCTGCCATTGTATAACAAAACTTCACGTAGAGGATGATATGCCCAGCAGAGGTGCCAAAGGCAGCCCCTAGGCACCAAGAGGCAGGCTGCAGGTTCTACAGCATTACTATCGATACAGCGAGCCTGGAAAAATTACTGCAGTTTAGACAGCCCTGAAGCAGCTGATCAAAAGGCTCTGACAGAGGAGCTCTCTGCAACAGCTGAGGATGTTTCTGTTCCAACTGCTATCCCTTTGGGAAATCCCCACCTCCACAGCAGAGCAGGATGGTGTGCCCACAGCTCAGCCACTGCACTCCACAACTGTGAAACATGCTAAACCTGGACAATTCCTTGCTCTACTGCAGGTCATTAGAGCTCTTGGTTGTTCATAACCTGGGCCTTTTTATTCACCAACAACCTGCAAGTAGGACTTGGGATTCTAGGTTGTCTCTCCAACGCCTGCCTATAAAATCTACCATGTGCTAGGGTTTAAACTACCACATTGCTGCATTCAAAGAGGATCAGATAAGAAAGACCATGTTTTCCCATTCTGTAACAATCAGGAAGGCTGAGATGACATGGCCCAATGAAACAGATCATACACAAGCCTAATCCTCCTGATCCCAAAGTAAATTGCACCAAAGTTATCTACTTCCACCCATTAAATGAGAGGAACTATTAGATGGAACTATAAAAACCTTCACAACAGATGCCTATCATTCCTGTGATTAACATACCTGCTTTACACAGTGCTCCTCATGCTGAGGGCAAAGCCTCAATAAGAGGGCAGGGCACAACTATTTCAAGATGAGAAGAGCCACTCCTCTTCTAACCAAGAGCCAAAAGTTTATTATTAAAATATAGACTAAGACAAACTATAATTATGTCAACTATAAAAATATCCTTCTTAGATGTCCTAATGCAGCTTCTGAGGACATCTTTATTGTAAGCTTCATTAGGGTAAAGCTCTTAAAAAAATAGAAATAAAAATATAAGGCAGCACACCCAGAGCGTATTTTCCTCATTAAGACTTCAATTCATCTAAACACCAAGAACTCCAGAAATTACTTCAGATGTACCAGAAACTTTCAGCTGTGCATTGCTGTCATGACCTATTTCAGACTGATAGCAATTTCAATATGAAACAAAGTATTTACTTACATACACATAGTAGGTTTATTATCTGAGTAACTTCTACAAACATTCAAATAGGATTTTACCTGTTGCACGTTTCCATAAAGGCCATTTTCTCAGCGCTTTCTCAACTGGTTTCAAATATAGTGAATTTCTCTACTTGCCATGGAAAAGAAAACCATTAAAATGCAGTTTACCAAGTTTCATCCCTTCGGTTACTTTCGAAGACCAGTAAAAGCAGAAAGACGTCTGACACAAATCCCCAGACTTTCAAGAAGCTAAGCTAGGTAAGCCGAGAGCACAACTGGCTATTGGTCTCACTCTCTCTTTTCCATTGCAAAGGCACTAAACCCCTAAGTAAATATCCAACTTTGTAAAAGACTTTTAGCCAATCTTATTGCCTTGCAAGGACTAGGTCCCACATATTTGTGCATAAATATTTGCGCATAAATATTTGCTAGCCTGAAACCTAAACACTTTCCTGAATAACCAGCTCTCCTGAAAGTCAATTTTAATATCATAGCTTTTATGGCTAGTCAATGCAGCCAGAGCAGGTTACTCACCGATCGATTACAATCTCCTTCTGTCTTAGCAGCCCTTCTTTTATTTTCATTAGAGATTCCCAGTTGCTGAAGTCCCGATAGCTGGTAGCTGGGTAACTCTGACGAGATGTTCCGGTCAGCACCTGCACAAAATAATTGCATTATTAATCTCCAAAACAGTAATAGTTATCAATGTCTTAGATACTATGGAATTCACCAAGCAGTTTACTGTGTCAGAAACACAACATTTGTTTCGCAATTTATCCAGTTTTGCTTTACATAAAACAAGCTTATTTGAAACAAACAAACAAACTTTGTTTAAACAAACTTTAGTCCTGTGTCACTGGTTTAAAAATTATTTTATCATTTCTCTACAAATGAATTCACAGTTCTGAAAGCAGTCTGAGTTCAAAAGCTCTTTCAGAATTGGAATACGTAACTAAGTCAAATGCCACAAAACATGTGGCTCTTGCTACAATTTTTGTAGTTCTACACAGCAAGAGAGCTTGATCGCTTTAGGCCTGCTGCTATGTGCAGGTAACACTTACCCTACTTCTTGGACTTTCCCCTGGAACTTTAGCATACAGAAGAAAAGGAATTCTCTAAATTTACATGTGTTTGAAATATAGAATGTGGAAACATAATTCTGGTTAAATTCTAACCTTTTCCAATAAAAGCTTCACATGTAACAGATTTCAAGCTTTCCATTCATCTTCACAAAACCCAGGCTATGTGTCTCACTGCAAACGGATCTGAAGCTTACAGTCAAACTGAGCATGAACCAACATCATCATGCCTCAGAAGAACAGTAAATAACAAACTGGGATGCCTGTAAAAGATATTATGAAGTTCTATTTTGCATGTGAAAAAACTGAGCTGGAACACGGTGTTTCATTACAGGTTACCGCTGCAAGAAAAAATGTATTTGTATAATAAGAAAGCCTTCTAACTGTAAGGACTCTGAAATACTAAAGCAGATTGCCAGAAAGGCTGCTGGTTCTCCTCCCAGTAGGTTTTCAGAGCAAGTCAAACAAATACCTGTTTAGAATACACGTAATGGTATTCCTGCCCACTCGAAGGCCTTTCTGACCTTATTTTTCTATTAAGATATTATCACCAACTTCCACCAAAGTTCCCGAAAAGGCCTACTCTATTTGTGCTACTGTATAACGAAGCAGCCATCAGCATCTTCTTTTTTTTTTTTTTTTTAATTTCTAAAGGTTTCTGTTTTACAAGATCCAGAGCATTCACAAATTGCGTTCATTTTATACATGAAAAGTGTGATGTTTAATTCAGACACAAAATGGAAAAGAATTCGTATAATGGGAATAGACCTTATATAATTCTGTATGGTAAACAGGCTTTCATTTTGAGAAGACTAAAATAACTTAATGAAGATAAAGGTTCTAGTTGATGCTCTGGATTGGTAACAAAACAGCAACGTTTTTGTAAGTCGTCTTGTTTGACAAGGGTAACACCACGTGTCAATGTTTAAATTTATTCATAGGTAAATGGGTGGTTGTTGAAAAGTACCCCATGAAGTCAATGAATTTTGGCAGGCATATTAACATGCCGGACTTTTCATAAACTAGTGGCACAAGGGATGATAGATACCTGAAAGATGGGTTAAAAATCAGCCGGCTACACTCCCATTGTAGTAGACGGAGAGAAACAGACATCACTAAAGGGCAATTCAGTTCATCTCAAAATTGAGGTATTAAAACAGATAGGATCACTCTTCCTGCTAGAGGAGTCTATTTCTCCATGTTGACTAGAGAGAAAACTCAGCTATCTAGTTCAGGCTTTGACAATCACCTGGTAAATATCTGTACAAGTTTGAAGACTTTTCCACTCAGCAAAGATCACATCAACATCCCACAAAATGATCCTCTACCTAGATTTTCCAAGGTTTAGATATCTAAAGGAAGAACAGGAATAGGGAACTATAGTCCCTGCAGTCTTGCAAGGAACTGGTTCTTTCTCAAGTTGGTTGAGACAGAGGTTTTCCAAAACGACAAATGATGGTTAACTGTGATCTAATTTAATTTGACTAAGCTTGTACAGCTATCGATTCTTCTCTGGGTCTTGGGGAGGGAGGCAAAGCCAAGGAACCAAGGTTACTGAACCAAAAGCACAGCAGGTGAGGTAGACACATCTTTATATCTGTATTAGGAAGCCACAAGAGGGAAGATGTACGTTAGGACTTCTGTGATAAGATCGTAGTACCTCATCATCAAGAGCCACGGTGTATTTTCCCATCTTCCACCCATTTCTTTAATCACTGGAAGAAAGATTTCGCTTGGTTTTTATTATCTGGGATGCATCCTGGCCTGTTTTACCTTGTCATGTTTTTGGAAGACAGCAGGAGGAGCAGGGAGTGAAAATACGGCTAAATCTATTTTAAAAACTTAAAACAGACTTTTTTATGACAAAATGTTTTTACTCACATTTGCTTGTAAAGTTTTAAACTGCATTGGAAATTATGATCACCTATATTAAGAATGATACATATCATCAACTATTTAAATTAGATGAATAACACTCAAGTAATACCTGCTTCTTGTCAAAGCTTAATGGGAATTATAACTCTGAATGGAGAGAAATCATTGGCTAAACCCTAGAATCTCAACACAATGAAGTCAGGAACCAGCTCCTGACAGCTGCAGTCCTTCTGCAAGATGAAAGAGAGTATTTTTTCCTATTTAGTTTTGTTCATTTCAATCCCTAGCTCACTAAAGTTGATAAAATGGAGCTGAAAAAGCAGAAATATATTTTCCGTCTTTTAATTTTTAACTTAAAATTAGGTATAAGATGACAAGATCTAGTAGTTCTAAAATCTTTTAAGACTAACAAAAAAATCCCAACAAGTTCAACTCATTCACTTATGTATTTCCTTTGCTTAACAAACTGGATAGCTTTAACAGTAACATTTGTTACAAATGATGTTTTTCTTTCAATTCTACAAAGTAAAAATTTAATACCAATTTCTGGCCAAAAATAAACTGAAAAAACTAACTGGACATCAGCTATTTTCAAAAAAAGCAAGCAAAAAACCCAAAATAAAATAAAAATATCCCAAACCCCAAAACAATACCAAAAAAAAGTGGATGCTTTAGTGTAGACTGTGTACCCTACCCTCCCTGACAACAAAGGTCCAGGATAAGGTCCATATAAGTACTACAACTTTAATGAAAAGGCCATCTTGACAGGAAAAGCAGTGCTTTTTGAGGAAAAGTAAAATATGAGTAAATATTAAAAGCAAGTTTTATTCCAAAATGGTTAACTGTATTCCCTACAATTTATATTAATCTTTCTTTGCCCTATGCACATTCATGATTACGTCCCACAAACAAAATGAAACACAGAGGGCATTTGAAAATGCTCCCAAATAACCTGCCTAATAAAGAGTCTCACGCAATTGCTCCCCGGAACATATTCTACATTTGAAAGTTTTGTGAGAATAAAATTTGTCACTTCTGCAATTTCTAGTGAATACTTCCACTAATACTATGCTAGTTCAAGGAAGTTACGTTAAAGACGGTACTGCACTCTACTGGGAGGTGAGGAGTGGAAAGGGCAAAGTGCTGCTTGGATTAAGAGCTATGACAAACCTGTTGACATGTGAGACTGACTTAACAGTTCTCTTGCCTTGTTTTTCACGCACAATGATCAATATTAATATTATTACAAAACCCTGAATTGGTGATATCGCCCTGGCTTTTTTTGTTTGGGAAGTGGTCTTATGAAAGATACAAAGTGGTGATTCTTCTGATAAGTAATGCATGTGCAGAGCATTTAAGGATCTCTAGATCTAAAAATCAATCTGATCTGGGTCTGCGAATCTAGACCGGATAACTTCAAAGTAGTCTTTGGTGCTTACATAATACCTTAGGATTTTCACAGAGTCTTCTGTATTAGAGTTATCCATGTCACTGGTTGAATTACTGCGCACCAGTACAAAACTAGTTCAGTGAAAGTCTCCTTTAGTCATACATGTCATGCCGTGCAGAAGAGTGACATCAGTAGCTACCACTGTCCTTTGCCTCATGAGAAGTTTTCCTTCGCTTATTCTCCCACCGTAGTGCTAAAAGCTTTTCTCTGTTCAATTCAAGAGCCTTGGGTTACAGTCAAAAAAGAGAAAGCTGGACTAGATACTTACTCATTTTTCCTTGCTTCTCAGAGCCAGAAATTCCATCTCTACCCAAAAAAACTTCAATAGCTTGACACGATGAACAGCAAATATATGATTTTTTACAGTCTAATCTTCCCACTTATTGAACAAGGTGAGCTTTGTCTTTAAGACTGAACTATAAAAGTGAACTTTCTTCAGAAAAGTAAGTAAGCGAGGACTCAGGGGGGAGAAGATTAAAGACACCTAGGCAATTAGGAACTCATGTGATCCGAAAAAATTTTTGGAAGCCACCAGTGGCTTCTCTAGCAAAATTCTTCAAAGCAAGCCCATTACTTAAATCTAGCACAAATGCAAACTTAATAGTTTACACTAAATTAAATATAAACCCTTCAAATTCAGCATTATAAATGACTATGCAAGAAGTCAATGAAGTATTAAGGCTGCTAAAAAGCAAGGCAATGTTTTGTGAAGTTAAGAATTTTGCCAATCAGAAGCTAACAACAGGTTTTAAAAAATATCTACAGTATATGAGGTCTGCTTAGCTGACTGACCAAAACGTTTTTGACGTTGGAAAATATCCAGTCTTACAGAGTATATGCATGTTGCATATAGCTGTATAACACAACATTATCTTATTGTATTATCTCTATTAGCTGTGTGCTTCATCACTCCAAACAGACAAAAAAATATTTGTTTCTGATATCATGTTTCAGCAATTAAAAAAAAAAGGCTAAAAATACTTCTCAGCACTACCCAGAATAACAAGACACTTAACACCATGTGCTCGTAAACGAGTGGACTACTCCCAACAGCTTTCTAGATGCTTTGAATTGTTTGGTAGCACACAGGTGGTTCACTTACATCTGAGAATTTTGACTCCTAAGGACATCAAACCAAATAGTGAGAGCAAGATACATTTTTAGGACTCAAGCACAGAAAACCATCCACAGCTCCAAGTACTCAACTCGGATCCTCCACAACTACAAACAATACACAGCATTCTTTTCTATC